ACCCACCCATCCGCCCACCCATCCATCCATCCATCCACGGTCTCGTCAACGGGAGGGAAAACCCCTCTGAAGGAGTTCCTCGGAGAGCCGGCCTACCGACAACACACAGAGAGGGGATATTTTGAGCGAGGCATATACCCTAACCCTAACCCTAACCCATAACCCTAACCCTAAGCCTAACCCTATACCCTAAACCCTATACCCTACCCCTACTCTTGTATACAGTGGTTTGTTCAGTGGACCTTGTCACTGTAAGTGACGGCCCTCTGCGAAACTCCTCCCAACCCCTCAAAGGCAGGATGTTGCGCATGGACCTCATCCCTTTGGGATCCATGTCTGGCCCACTCTTTGGTGTATCTCCCTTTTCTCATTCCTCCTCACCCCTTCTTCTATCTTTTCTTCCGCCACTGATCTCATGTGCAGTCAGTAAATCTAGAGGTCTCTTCTTCCAATAAATGAAATGTTGACCGTGAGGTGCGATGAGTACGGAGTGGATGGTTGGCGGGTGCTCTGGTGTGGTTAGCTTCCTCTTTCCTATGAAACATCTATCGTCCTTATCCCCCCTTCTCCTTTTTTCATGTTTGTTACTATCTTGTAACACCTCTATTCTTCTGGTGCTTATATGACCTTACGTAGTTGCGAGTGCCGTAAAACCTCTACTGAAACTAAAAGATGAGTTCGGAAGGAAACCGGGTACCCAAGTGAGACCAGTCTGCGGACTTTCCCTCGCCAATACACATCTTTAGGTCACGTTTTCCTCTATCGTTGAACTGAAAGTTTGTCAATGATAAAAGTTCCATCTAGACGTACAGTTTAAAGTGTCAGTCCTTATCAAAACACACAAAACACACCACAAAAAATAATAATAACTTGGTAATCCGGCATTAAATTGTGTTCCCCGCGTAGTGTTGACTACTTTTGGGTCGCTGATCACGAAAATCTTATTATTTTTTTTATTTGACCAGTATTTAGGAAAATTTCGGAATGCATTTTGAACTCCGTCTGGGGCAACATCAATAAATAAGCCCCTCGATCCTTCGTCGTCAGGCCTTCAGTTCGCCGGCCGAAAAATATCTGGCTTCCAGATAATATATCTGGCTTCCAGATAATATATCTGGTCGCTTGATTGAGAACCCTTCGATATCGATAGGATTTCTCGTTTCCACGCTCAGTTTTACCGGTAAGTTTACAGGGTGTCCGCCATTTATTCGATATGCTACAGTTTGTCGATCAATGAACTGTACGTGGAAATGGGGCTTTAGAAGGGGGAGTTGCACGGCCCTTACAACTAAGTTATCATCATCATCATCATCATCATCATCATCATCATCATCATCATCATCATCATCATCATCATCATCATCATCATCATCATCATCATCATCATTTTCATAC